TGCTATTTTTGCTAATTGTGCGAATTTTACTAGCTATTTTTGCTAGCTATATTTGCTGTTAACGACCACTGGCTCTGCTGGCACACATTCAAGAATTGCATTATCTTGAAACAATGACGTGGTAGGATATCGAATCGCGTTTTATGCCTCACGAGATTAACTATAATAACTTGGAATGTTCCAAGTAATTTAGACAGCATTTTGGAGTATTATTTGAGATAATATTGCAATAAAATTTTTAATAAAAGAATATAATTATCAGCTCACTATAATAACTTTGATGATGAAAACATATTAGAAATTATATGTAGCAATTAAGCACAGAACCAGTATAGATAAAATTTCTTAATTACTGCAATAATACAACACAATATAGAGTTTAAAATAACCTTTATTAATGGACCCGGTTATTTTTTACTATAACCACAAGTATGAATAATAATAATAATAATAATATATAGTACATAATATATATAATAATGATAATAATCAGTTGCTAATAATATATATGTAATCATTAAACTCTTGATCGATTCGATGTTTAAAAATTAAATGTTTTTAAACTAGAGCTTACAAGACATCAATAATATTATAGCCAATGTTATTGCTGTTAGTGCCCAAATAACTTGGTCCAACTCTAATGTATAATGCACCATCTTTAACTAAAAGGTCGTTGTAATTTGTGACTTCTTCGTCAAAGATCAAATAAATTTTCTTAGTTGTCACAATTTCAACAAAATTATCTCTAACCATATCATCTTTAATAATATTTGCAACCAAAGATTCAAAATATCCATAAACGGTTTCACCTAATTGACTTTTATGCCAATTACCACCATCATTTGAATTTTTCTTTGCAATTTCAAAGATGTTATCAAAATCTACTACAAATTCGATTTCTTCACGAACTGCATCTTTAAGTTTTTTCTTTAGTGCAGGAATCTTCTTGGTCCATTGATAACGAATGTTTACTTTGGTAATCACTGGGAGAACCGAATCTGGTGCGTGAAGTCTTTCAACTATATCATATCCAGGCGATGCATTATTGCCAAATCTCTCAGGATTAACCATAATGTACAAACCACCATCCATTATCTTAACATCATGATAATCTTCGACTTCATTATCAACCACGAGATGGAAACTTCTTGTACTGGTCAAATCCAAAAATTCTTGACGAACTAAATCATCCTTCTTAGTATAATTTTCAATATTTTTAATTAATGAACTGAAATATTGAAAAATGACATTTCCCAGACTTCTGGAAAACCAATCGGTGTTATATTCATTGGCTTTAATAATCTGTACATAAATTTCACTAAAGTCTACTTTAAATTGGTAATCTTCGCCCAAACATTGCTTGAGTTGTTTCTTGAGACCAGGAATTTCCTTTTCCCATTCATCTCGAATACTTTTTTTTGTTCTCAACGGAAGAACGTCATTTGGATCTTTAATCACATCGACAATATTATAACCAATGGATGAATTTGTTCCTAATGATTCAGGTTTAACTTTGATATACAATTCACCATCTTTAACCTCAATGGCATTATAATCATTTATATCCTCATCGTAAACGAAATAAAACTTTTTTGTATGAATAACATTGACAAATTCTGATCTGATCAAATCATCTTTTTTAGCATTATCATTCATATATTTTATCAGAGATTCAAAATACGCATAAACAATTTCACCTAATCGAGAGGTCACCCAATCAATGCAATCTTTTTTTGCCGAAATTGCTTTTAAATAAACATCTTCCCAATTGATCACAAATTCATAATCCTCACCCAAGGCCTGTTTGAGAGATTTTTTTAAAGAAGGTATTTGTTGTTCCCAACTATCGCGAATATTCTTTTTTGTAACTAAAGGTAACACTTCATCTGAAGATTTCAATAAATCTAAAATATTATATCCAACACCTCCAGAGTTAGTACCATAATTTGAAGGTCGTGCTTTTATATAAATGTTACCATCGAGAATAACGGTTTCATTATAATTTTGAATTTCTGAATCAGTAAGAAAATGAATTTCTCTATTATTTGTTATTTTAACAAAATCCGAACGAACCAAATCATCATTTTTGGTAACCTTGTCAATATTAGAGATTAAAGATTCGAAATATTGAAAAGCAATATTTCCTAAACTTTTAGTTATCCATTCTTTATTATCAGGAACAGCTTTAATGCAATCAGCATGAATTTTACTAAAATCCACAATAAATTCGTAATCAAATTCTGTAATAGAATTTAAAGTTTTCTTAAGTTCTGGAATTTTATTTGTAAAGTCATCCCGAATACTCTTTTTTGATGCAAGTGAAAGACCATTCATAATAATAGATATGTTATAAAATTGTTAATGCAAGATTAAATGAAAAAGAAAGTTAAAAAGGACATGAAATAACACTAGCTCTAATCTTTACCTTTTATTATCAAATTTCTACTGCATTTAATTTACATAATTTGAGACACGAATTTGTTGTTAAAAACAAACATTATTAAAGGTAACAAATACTTTATTTGTGGTATGTGAGAGTATTAAGTACAGAAGTATTTTTATTTTGTCACGTTAGCATGAAGTTAATTGATACTCTAAATGTTTAGGTTAGGCTATTTAGATTTTAGAATGATAACTATTTATACCCTGGTCATTATATCAAGATCGCAGGGCATAAATCAGTTATACCCTGGGCACTGTGTGTATAAGCGGGAATTTCATCCCCGCTTATACCCAACTGCCCAGGATATAACTATTACAACTTCATTTTGTTCTAGGTGATTATGAAAAAATTGATTAATTTAAGTTTTGAAATAAGCTAATTGAGTTTATGAATATTTTTTTATTTAATTTTTTTTCTGTTCATATTAAGTTTGACGTGTATTAAAAATGTATTAATTGGGTGAGTATAAAAAAATGTATAATTTAAGTATTTAAAATGAGTTATTTAAAATACACGATGTTTAATTTTATCTTGTTTGGGTAAATGTAAATTGTAGAGTTTTTAATTTAAGAGTTCTAAATAATTATAAGTTTACTAACATTACAGTACATTTGTAAAATTTGAAACATTTGATTGCTAACATTAATAGTAATTTTGGCCAATATTTCTCAGGTTAAGTTGTATCGTTATGATAAATTTATATATTTAATGAAATATGTCAAAGATAGGTTAGCCTGTGGGGAAAAATGGGTTAGACGCATTGTTATTATAGATCGAAGTGGCAATAATTTTTTGGGGATTTAATGTTAAAAAATTGAATCATTTGAAATGTGATAAGTAAAAGCAATAATAACGTATATAAGATAAGCTATAAGTGATAAATTGTGACAATCAGTTGTTTAGACCGAGTAACAATTCCAAGACTTTTACTAAACGCACCTATGGAGTTTTACACATTATCTCAAAAACTGGCTAATTAATCAACGCAAGATGTCCTAAGTAAAAATGCTCTACGCCCCCTGACCCTAACACCATGAAAATTTTGTGTTGAAAATTTTTATATTTAAAACTTAGAAAAATCTAGATAACATAATAAAACATACGATAGGTGCAAAACCACCATAGGTGCGTTTTATAATAAATGATTCCGAAATAGGAAATCAAATTATTAATGATTTATTGTCTGGAGCGTAGCGACAGACCATTAGTGTAAATGCCAAGTTATACAAAAGTTACGTTTTTGATGCATTTTGACCAAAAATAGGTACCTTTTTGATGCATCCGCATAAACATTATGAAGATCACATCAAAAATGTAATTTCTGTCCGCACGCGTAACTAAAACATGCATATTCACGCGTTTGTGTAATAAGATGTTTATAAAATGCAAATTGATTGGTTTAATTCAAAAAATTGATCTGCAAATATTACAGTATTAATAGTGAGCATAAAGTTATTTTTAAATAAGCTATTCAAATTTGTGAGTATTTTTCCTATATTTCAACATTAGTTAATTTCAAGCATCAGCTGCAACAATAATTATTTTGATTAAATTATTAGGGTGTTCTCAAGCAGCACGCTCAACCATTTGGCGTTCCATTTTTGAGAATCGATAGTAGATAATATAATTGAAATATGTTCACAATGTGGTTAATTTATGATCGTGTTGGTGCTCAAGTATTTCGAATAATTAAAATATTGATCGCAATTGAGGCTTGAGCAAACATCTTTATTATTTTTACCATTTATCCATTACAATTTGAAATTTAAATAAAAATAATGAAAATGATGGATCAACGAAAAAATAAAGTAATCTACGATACTTCCAAATTTTGGGTTTTCTTTTTCAGAATTTACTACAAACTAACAGAACACAAAATATTTATGGCTTCGTCAATGTTGGTAATTATTTTGAAGATCTATAAGAGTGAAGTACTTGAATCAATCAATGAAAATTTTCGACCAATAAGCGCAATTTTACGTTAAAAAAAGACATTTGGCTCTTGTTGACTGGAATGATAAATACCCTTGATCAGTTAATCGAACTTACGCTAATAAATCTTTTTTTCTGACGTATTAAACTTTCATTATATGTTTTTATTCATTGAAATAATCAATACAATTGATTCGTTAAACTATTTTTTTTTTGCTAATAAAATTTTACCCTCAGACCCGTTTCGACGGACTAAGGTGCTTGAGAACACCCTTAAGCAATTTTTTACATTTTTTTTTCGTAAATAAAAAATCATTTATTATTGCATAAAAATCATCCGATCTTGAAATGGGTAATTAGACTCTTGATAAAATTATATCATGTGTCTTATAAGCCCGTTTCTATAAATAAATTTCTGGTTTTCGCTTTGCGTACCCATTTAGTGGTTCTTTCTACACAAATAGTTAACTACACATGATCGTATGTCAATCACGTTTTACTCTCATGCTTCCCAAGTGATAAAATTCTGTTGGGAATGGCTCTCTCTGCCCGCTCACTCTGCTCCTATTCAAAACGTCGTGCAACAGAGTCATAACAAATTAGGGAAAGAGCAAAACTGCCAAGCAATCTATAACTCATAAAAATCTAAGATCTCCGTACTAACATTGATGGTAATACAAAATTAGAGCCACTTGTGAGTAGGTTAAATTGCAAATCCAGTCCGGTCCGATCCTAGGATCTAAAAAGACGGTCCTGGATTCGGTCCTTAAATCACATGAAAACATAATACATTTTATAGGATCAGATCTTTGAATCCATAGAATAAGTCCATCCAATCAATTAATTTTGTATTGTTATAATATTCAATTCAGGATCTAAGTCTTATAAAATATATTGTGTTTTCATGTGATTTAACATCCCTATGTGAGAGGTAGGTAGGGACGTTAAAAGTTCGGTTCGATTCGACTCGACTCCAAAAGTCGAGTCTTTATTAAAGTTCGGTTCCAAGTCAGCTTGGAACTCGATGCATATACATTCTTTTTAGCGCTATATTTAAATATACAAGTTGCACGTGAAATGCGAGTCGAGTTCCTAGTGAGAGGGCTAACTTAGAAGTCTGTTCGAATATTCAGTCGTTCAATTTTTTTAATATCCGAATATTCATCAGCAAATTTTAAATGAATATTCGAATATTTGATTCGGAACAATAATAAATTAAAACTTCTTGCTCATCTACTTATTATTAGCATTGCTAAACCAATCAATATATAAGATTGAACATGACATATGACACCCAATCTTGCATTTAATTGGTCGGTTATATAGTAATGAATTGAAAAATTTTTATACGTATTCGAATATTCAATTCAGTGAAACAATTATATATTCGGAATACTGGAATATATATATTCGAATATTCATTGAATATTCGATTATATTCGATTCATTCTAGGTTACCCTAGGTTAATTAACTATGTGTTACACGAATCGTAGAACAAGAAATCTCGTATATATGTAAAATGAGCGATCGTTACAATAACTTTGAATAAATCTTAAATCATAAAAATTTTATTACAACAATGAGTTTCTTTAACACAAGTGGGTCAAGTGGCTCATGGGGAAGTATGCTTAAACAAGCGATGAATACTGTTGAAAGTAAATTTGATAAAGCTCTTGACTTAGGAGAAAGTATGTGTTTAGTTTACAAGCTCAGTCAATCGCACCGTGATCTCATTTTATTTAATGATTATAAACAATCAAATAAATAGGTAGCATATATCAAGGAGAAGTATATGTAGATCCTGTTACTGGTTTTGTGACGACTCTTGATCCACCAAGTTTAAGTTCACAAACGGTAACGAAATCAACGCAAAACCAAGGATCACAAAAACCAATATCAACAATTGGTAACTTACAAGATTCAGAATCGAAAGAATCAAGGACAATACTAGATAACATAATAGAACAATCAAAATCTTCGAAAAATGAATTAGAAACTGAGAGTTTAACCTCTGTTCACACGAACAGTGTTATTTCAAACAGTTCTGATACACAATCTCGAGAATTAGATGGTATTGATAGCTCTAGAACATCTCATGATTCACGAGCATCAGCGGTTGAACCTCAATTCACAACTGATAATTTTCAGCATATAATTGAGCAACGAGAACGTCAATTACTTAACGCGGCTGAACAAAATGCATTATTGAATAATACAATAGAACAACTTAAAATACAAATACAAGAACTAGAAGCTAAGAATGCTGAATCAAGAATAGTCAAAGATCACTCTGAAGAGCATACAGAAACTACCTTACGAAATGAAGCAAGCATATTTTCAATTTAATATATAAATTTGTATAATTCATTGGCAAGATTATAATTTCTCTTTCGTTCAGATTCGTGAATTAAGAGCCACTTTAGTACGTGTTGAAGAACAGGCTGGTCTTCGTGAAGATAACTTGCGGCATGAAATCTTGGTATGCTATCTAATTATGTAATTAATAACCCATTTTCTTTTTAATAAGGATGTAAATTGATTTTTATTTCGCTTCTGAATAATTCATTTTAAAGGCGTTACAGCAACAATTACAAATAGCAGAGAATTACGCAAGAGATTCGACGTCAGAAGAATGGGAAATAGATCGAATTCAATTACTCAAACAGATAGAAGATGTAAAGACACAATATGCACTATCGGTTAAAAATTGGGAAAAGATTGAGCATAAGTTTGTGAAATATAATAATATTGTTTAGTTTAATTTATATATTCTAAAATTCGTAAACGCTTAATTTTAACAGTCTTTCGATACGGTTAACCGAAATGGAAGCTGAACGTGATCAATACATTGAAGAATGTAAAAAATTGAATTCTCAATTAAGGGAACTGGTAAGAAAAAAAACCGGTCCTTGAAATTTGGCATCTATGAAAAGGACTATAAATATTATTAATACATCTTGTCTCATCTCAGACGTCACATTCTGAGCAAAAAGAACTTGAACTTGTTGCAGCTCAACAAAAAAATTTACAATTAAATGAGGAGATAGAGTCACTTAAAGCTCGAATTCCTATCTTACAAAGTGAGATTGAAACTCTTACGTCAAATCTTGAATCATCTGAAGAATGTCACCAAAAGAGCTTAAAAGAAGTAGAAGAACAATATCGTTGTATACTACGACAGACGCTTGAGGAAAAACAGGATGAATGGGAGGAGAGATTACGATCAGAACAAGAAGTTAGATCAAAGGAATCTGAACAAGAGAAACAACCACTGAAAGTAGATTCTATTAGGGGTAGTCCTATAAGATCAGCAAGTGAAACGCAATTGAGTTCGTTACGTTCTATAAGTGAAATACATTTAGAGAAACATGTCGAGGGAGGAGTACTATCACCAATGTTAAAAAGTCCAACTTCAAGTATTAGATCTAATAGGTCTAGTATTGATGGTGGAGCTAGCATAATAAGTAATGTTATAATGACAGAGAGATTGAATTCCTCTATAAAGTACTTGAAAGGGCAAGTTAGCACATTACAGGCTCAACTTTACCTTACGACGAAAAATAGAGGTGAGTTAACCCTATAATTGGTTTGTTGATATGAGTAGCAATGGATTTTGAACAAAATTTTGATTTTGCAAACTAGACGAATTAGCAGATGAACTAGTAAAACTAACCACTCAGATGGAAGATCTGTATGTTTAATTCCTGATGCTGTTGTTTTTTTTTTTTTACTGAAACATTTCTTAATATTGGCTTTATGTTTATACGTAGTTCTCTAAAATCTGAAAAAGTAACTGAGTTGGAACGCCAATTTTATGAATTAAATGAAAGGTATGATGAAAATGTTAAACTACTTTTATTTTTAGTTATGTTAAGAGATGTATCTTTTTTTGTAGATATAACACTGCGTTAGAATTATTGGGTGAAAAGACAGAACAGGTGGATGAGTTACAAGCAGACATTGAAGATATGAGAGACGCATATCGTAGTCAGATAACAGATCTAACTGCACAACTAGAAAGATATAGAAATTCATGATGATTTAAAATATTCAATAATTTAATTCTAGACTTCATATTCCATTTTAAACTATTGGTGACTCTACACCCTACATTTTTTATATATTTTTATCATCTTGGAAGAAGACTCATTTATGAATCGACAAGTAATCACTTTCAAGCTTAATATCTTTGTATTTAATTATAATAAAATTTTAATGTATCTACATTCAACTTGACACAAATATTTTTCATCATAACGAAATTATAATGGAGACATTTCTGAGGTGACTATCGAAATTATTAAATTATACAATGCAATGCAATCAAATATTAGTGAATGATTATTATCATTATTTTTGTAGAAAGCTTATCAAACAGCAATTCAAAAAATATATATAATATAATGTCACCAAGCATTATTTTAATTGTTCGGGTGGGGTAACTTCCCTTTTTTCCAAAACCCTATCAACCAAACCAAAATCTAGAGCTTCTTCAGCAGTCATGTAGTAATCTCTTTCAACAGCGATTTCTAATTAATAGATTGAAACATTTAATAATAATAATAATAAAATGAAAATCAAATAAAATTATGAAATATTACCAATTTCTTCTAGTGTATGCTTATTACAATGTTTTTTATAAATTTTATTTAATCTTTCCCTAACTCTTAGTATCTCTTTAGCATGAATAGCAATATCAGTTGCTTGACCTGTGGCACCGCCCATTGGCTGATGTATCATTATAGTAGAATTAGGAAGTGTATAACGTTTTCCTGGTTCACCTGTACGATATAATATTATTATAAGTAAATAATTCAAATAAAATACAATAACAGATGATATTACCCGCAGCCAAAAGTAATGATCCCATTGAACATGCTTGGCCATTACAAAGTGTTGATACCGGTGATTGAATGTACTATTAAATTGAACATAATATAACTTTTTAAAAAATTACTTAGAGGAAAAAGTATATTAAAAATTATTTATTTATACCTGCATCTGTTCAATTTTGATAAATAAAATCATGTGAGTACATATCAAGTACATCAATGTTTTTTTAAAAAAACAAACTTACAGTATCATAAATAGCCATACCGGCGGTTACAGTACCGCCGGGACTATTAATATATAAGCTAATCGGTTTTTCTGGATTCTCAGCTTCAAGAAATAGCAATTGAGCTACAACTACAGCTGCTACACTATCGTCTACCTTTAATTTCGAAAAAAATGGTTTTTTCAATCGATCGATAAATAAAAGTATAAGAAAAAAAAACTTTCTTTGATATTCCTTGATATTTTTTATACATTGCTTACATGACCATTCAGGCATACGATCCTCTCTTTTAAAAGCCTAGAAAATATGTCATATGAACGTTCACCCCTTGACTATTTAAAAATTTTATTAAAAATTATATCAAAAAGGTTGCGATATTAAAAAAAAAGGTTTACCGTTTGTTCAACTACAAACGGTATCAAAGCATGAGCTTTGACAGGTGACGACTCTCGAGTTAAAAAACCTCTAGCAAAATTTCGTAAGCCAAATAACTTTTGACCAAATCTAAAATTCATAGGAAGAATTCATGTGATTGGCTGATTTAACTACTCTTATATTCACAGCAGATAGGGCGATATTATTGGTCAGCCGTAAAAAACATGTGATTTAAATTGTTAACTAGGACCGCTTAGAAAATATTCGGTTATAATTAGGTTTACGCTATTACATATTACAACAGAAAAATGAACCTACGAATAAAGTATCATGTATCATGTATTGAATGCGATGCTTTACAGTAATATGCTAATCGATAAAGTAAGTATTTTACGATAGTAAGGCCGTTTGAAGTTAAAGTTTCGTTTAACGTTACCCCCCCTCCATCTCTTGAGTTCCCCCCTAAAATTAAACAAATAGAGGTGACGAATTAGTCGGTATAATGGTTGGCA